GGGGTTTGGTAAAATTACGAGGTCACGTAGCAGCTGGACCCACCGGTGGGTCCGTAGGGTTCTAGGGGTTAGAGGATTGTATTTTTATTTACTCAGATTATTTAAGTCTAAGTGCAACAGAAAAATAGGGCAAATCTGGTAAAAAAAAAAAACATAATTTCAAGGCATTAGACATGTAGAACAATTTCTCTATTTTATTTATTGTTTTTCCTTTTTAATTTAGTCTGCAGTGCTGCAAAGAACATTAACCTCTCCAGTCTCCTTAATATGATCTCCTCAAAAGGAGACCTTTCCAGAGGCAAAACAAAAATAGAAATTGTCTAATCAAATTAAGTTCCTTGCAAAAACAAAAACAGAAAGTACGCAGAACAGACAGTACAGGTTGATTATATTTTTGCAGGATATTAACGGCTAAAGCAAAGTGTTGTCTTCAGAAGAGTTGATCCATAAAGACAGCCTCTATTTTGTGTCATTTTCCAGACATTTTGACATCTCATTTTTTCGTCTCTATGGAAAGATGCTGGCGCCACGGCTACAGTTCTCAGAAACAAACCCTGCGTTCACAAAGTGAAAACAGGAAAATCACTGGAACCTTTCCCTTTCAGGACGTGCTTCACAACAAACAAACGGCAGCTTACTCTGATGACCTCAGCCCTGGAGTTGATATAAAGCCCTGACCCTCTGACGGTGCACATGCTGAGAACAGACGCTGCATTCTGAGAGGCTTTTTTCCCCCCCGGATTGAGATGATTCAAGTTTCAAGAACGCCAGAGTTTTCCAACTTTGGGAACATGAATATGATTTCTTACGCTTCTCCTGAACAAGACCTGAGCTCCATGTCGACGGGCAGGAGACCAAGATCTCATTCATATAACAACCCAGACGACAGTAAGAACTTTGGTTTGCAAACACAGCTCAGCATTGCAAGACCTCGATCCAGGTACGTTTTTAGCCTTATTTTCAGGACATTTGGGCTTCAGTCTTCTAATCAGGGGGAGATTTACCATTAGGCAATACTAGGCACTTGCCTAGGGCCCCAAGTTCCTGGGGCCCCCCATTTATAGGTCCAAACAGACAGCAGCAAACCATTTGAAAACAAACCATGCAAAGAGCAGTGTTGCCAACTTAGCATGGTTTGTTTTCAAATGGTTTGCTACACTGCTCTTAGCATGGTTTGTTTTCAAATGGTTTGCTGCTGTCTGATTGGACCTATAAATGGGGGGCCCCAGG